TACAGAAAGGGCGACGGCCTTGAGATGTCAATGATGTCATCATTGACATCTCAAGGCCGTCGCCCTTTCTGTAGAAAAAAAGGAGTAGTGGTAGGTAGTGAAAAGAAAGATATGTTCCATGACATGGCAGAACGCCAGTTGAAAAGAAAGATATGTGAGGTGAGAGAAAAATATATGGCTGTCCCCCGATGAGGAGAAGGCAGCCTTTCAAAAAAAAAAAAAAGAAAAAAAAAAAAAAAAAAGGAGATGTCATCATTGAGCTGACCTGCCCCAGAGATAGTTGGCTTTACGCATCAACTTTCCTTATCTGGATTCGAACTCAGGTCTATATTTTAACACTTCAGGGGTGTACCCATTGAGCTAGGCTCTTGGGTCTGCTTGATGGTTTGATTTGCTATGATTTCTGTGTTCTGAGGTGGGAATGCTCTTTGCGCGCATGTGTCTAGGTCCCTACGCGATGATTGCGATGACGAGAGTTAACTGTGTTCTCGGCCTGTGTTTTCAGTGTCCTGGGCAAGAGAAGGGGTAGTTCAGAAATAAGGAAACCGCGGCGGGCTTCCAGAAAAGCCAGGACGGACAGGGACATACTTAGAATTTGGCTAGTTCCAGGTAGGGATTTTCCAGCAACTCAGGGCAGGCCCAACTGAGGTCCGGTAGGCTTAGAGGTGGACCCCACAGGGGAAAATCTCGGAAGACGCCTGGTGTTTTCTCGGACCCCACAGCCTCTGGAAAAGTGTCTGGAAGTCCTTTTTTCTGCATTTCCCAGACCCCACCGCCCCGAAAAGTGGTGCCTGGAAAAGAGAAGAGCGAGTTTCCAAGTCCTTTTCCGGGCGGAAAACGGCCGATCCACGTCGCCAAAATTTTGTGGCAAACGCAAGGGGTAGGGGGGGGGCATCCCCCTACGTCTTCCAGACTTGGAAGATCGCGCAGGTCCATTTTGTGTCCGCATGGTGCTCCCCACGACCCGTGAGCGGCCACGCAAATGCCACGCAATGCCACCCACGACCCGTGAGCGGCCACCCTGCAGGTCCACCACGGCCTACCCGGGCTTCGAAGGCGGACAAAACAGCCAAACTGGTCCGAAAGTCTGGAAGAACTCTTCCAAAAGTCTGGAAAAGAGGCACTTCGGTGGGGTCCCGTCTTTTCTTTTCCGAAAACTTCCAGGACTTCCGCGTCGCTTTACCACGGAAACTGCCTTTTCCAGACTTTGGGCGGTGGGGTCCACCTCTTAGAGGGACCCGGTAGCTTCCGAAAAGGTCACAAGTACTCAGTGTCCGTACATAGACAACAGGGTAGGTCAGATTCAGGACTTGAAGTAGGTTTGCAGGCTGCAATGATGTTCCAGCCAAAAGGCAGGAATGAACGGTCAGTAGGCCTACCTAGCACACTGCAGAGGCAGTAGTACCACGGCCAAAGGGAGGCCAGGGGCGGAGTTGCAAGAGTATATCTTTTGAGCACATTGACTGAGGCGACACAATACATTATGGGCGTAGCCACACCACTCTCGAAATGTGAAATGTGAAAAAGACAAAAATGTGGCGGATGCATCCGGCCATGTTCTAGCGGGAAGTTCATTCTCATTTTGCACATTTGGGGAGTGGTGTGGCCATGCCCTATGTGGCAGTCATGCTGTTGCTCCTCCAGGAGGGTGATGATAGGCGGACCTCCTGCTCAGCATCCCCCGAACACAACGCACCCTCATTTTGACTGTATCGGGCCCGAAACATGCCTTGCATACATTCATTTTCAGGGTGCGTTATGTTCGGGGGAAGACGGTAGTGGAGAGGAGTGAGGTTATGGCTGAAGGAGGGCACTTCAAGTGTTGGCAGTGAGGGGGAACACTTGGACATGATTCCTTTTCATTCATTTATTTGTTGTTGTAAGGGAGAAGGAGATGAGAGGCAGGAGAAGAAGTGACGGGGAAGACACTGGTTTTAACTTGTGTAATTCTCTTCTTCTTCTTCTTCTTCTTCTATTCTCGTCATTCTAATCCCCATTTAAATGCTCCTTTGGCTATTGCGTTTTCGAGCGAGGTACCGAAAGTCGTTGTTTTGTATTGGGGCCCGAAGTCACCTTTGGTGAACCTTTGGTGATAAATTCATATGGGATTCCGATGTTTCGCAGAAAACCTCCAAGGTTATGGTAAGCCCCAAAGGGTTTTTTGTAACTGTGAATCCGAAGGCCTAGTAAAGAGTCAGGTGCATACCGTACATTTTTGGTCACATCCTGCTGAATAGGCCACTGGCCAGAAATTTTCTTCATAGCTAGCGCTCCTTAGGTTATGAATATCGGTGGATGTCAGAGCAGAGGCCTCAGAAGTCTGGCTAGTGCCCTGGTTGGTCCCATTCATCAAGCGTACAAGCACCCTCACCGTCTAGCGGCTGGTACTCTGCATCTTCACAAATAATTCAATTTCACTGAGCCCATGTCGGAGACTGCGGGGCAGTCGTTACACCATTCATGCAGGTCGCTACTTATGCGACACAATTGTGTTAATTGAAATTAACTTCAAAGTTCGAACATCATTTTAACCAGGCCTTCCTACTTCGTGTCGCCACAAAGTTCTTTCTCTCTCTCTCTCTCCACTTCTTTCTCGCACGTTGGTTTTGCATTATGAATGTAGTAGGGTCATAACAATTGCAACAATACCCTACTTTCATGGCAGAAATAAATACCCCTTTTGGGTTGCAACGACACCCCCCCTTTCCCCAACTGTCTTTGTTGTGAAGGTCTATTTGCCGGGGCATTAAAGAATGGGTATTTATTATTTATGCAATTTTCCCAGGAATGAAACATGGTGACTGTGTGCTGACCCGCCTTGTTAACTGATACGCTGCATTTGACATCCAGGATTTTGAACTAGACCTATAATTTTGAAGTAATGCCACGTGGCACGGACGAGTCCTATGTTCAATGAAGTTGAATTATAGTGCCACGTGGCATAAATGAGTCCTTCCTCTCCACTGATGCGTGGTTGTTATCATGATATTGCCACGTGGAATGTCTCTCCCACCC